AAAAGTCCATGGTACCAGATTCACCCTCTTCTACCCAAACTCTCAAACAGATAAAAGTGATGAAGTAATGAATAACCTGGGAACACCAATAGAACCGAATGTTATCTTAACATTTGGTGGCAATAACTGTCAATACAGTATGTACCATATGAAAGTTTTAAAACCGAGCAAGGAAGTTGATGTCCTTGAGTAATCAGAGAATGGGATAATGCAGTGTCACATCCCCAATACAAGCACCACTACATCTCTTTTGAATACGGATAATAATCTCAAACCTTTTTTATCGTAACTAGAGAACATAAGGAAAAATGGATTAATGATTATTTAAACATGAAATCAATTACAATACTATATGAAGAAAGCATTTGACAGTTTTAAAACATTACACAGATTTTCATAACACTTTGTTGCAATACTAGTATTTCACTTTTAATCTTACCTTCATTTTATGCAGTGTCCTCTCTGCCTGTAATCTGACTTTTGGCTGAATGTTGATAGCTTTTACTGACTTCTCACGCTTTAAGAGCATACAGTTAAGAAAAAATACAGCATTCACGAAGCAAGAACATCGTAGCACAGTACCGTGTGAGAACTCTAAACAGTCGTTAATAATCGTTTTGCACAGATTTTTATTATTACCTGATTATTCTAAAATTATTCTTAACAAGTAGTTTTACCCTTAATTATATACTTTAATCTGAGTTTAGAAAGTAACAATACTCAAATGTGTGAATGTTAAAATACATTCTAAGGTACAAATATTCAACAGTGCAAAATGTTCTGATTCTCTAATTCCTTACAATAACAGTTATTTGATGTGTTGTATGACAACATGAAGTAATTAATTTAGGTAAAGAACAGTATGATTATATTTTTCATTATCAATGCAGTATGTAAAAATTCCGAGGGGAAACTTATGCATTTTAATATGATTGTATTCATGAGGTCCAGGTGCACAAATAGGTACCCCAATGTTCTTTGTGTTTGAGCCAGTTTCCTTGGCCTTTTCTGCAACAACAGCTATTTTATTAAAAAACAATCATAATAACAGACATTGATGCTTTTTGAAAATAGCACATTAATTAATTAAAATAGATAATACAACATACAGTACACTGTCTATACTTTACAAATACTAGTGTTTTACAAAAGTAACTGTAACTGTAGCCTCAGGTTTTCCAAATCTATATTGAGGCATTTGTAGCTAATGGCACAGGCAGATTTATTTTAAAGGAAGATTCTTGTGTTTTTGATTGGTTAGATGTTGGTATACTGTACCAAGGTTTAGAGAGCAAAGTCAGTAATGTAGAATACATCAATCCAGTGCTTAATACAACTGTAAGAAAAAATATTCAGCTGCTTCTATATCTGCCTATAAAGTAGGCCATTGCAATTATAGTCTGTTATTCCTGTAATTGTTGTTAACTCCCCAGGTGTATCTTGTTATGTGTAAGACTAGCTCCTCCAGTCCTCGGGGCTCAACATTAGGGTAAGGATGTCGCGAGGCCCGCCTAGCACCAGGATACCCTATGTCCGTCTCCTGAGGGCATAGGCCTCATCCCCGACACCTCCCGCTTCCTGAGCCCAGGGTCTGGAGGATCTCGACCCGTCACCCTTGGATCTCCATGTTTTGTCTGTTCGTGTTTTCCCCCTTTTTGGGGATTTTAACCTTGTCGCATCCCAGGAAGGATTACTTGCTGATGGACTCCCGGACTGTGCCCTGACCTTCCTTTAGACCTGTTTGGATTTGGATGCCATTCTTTGTCTCACGGACTGTCACTATTATTCTGTGCACTATTAAACCCCTGTGTGTTTTCCCATACTACGTCTTCTGTTTTCTCCAGCTCTTACCGCATGAGGTCTACAACAAGACCCGAGATGGACATCTGTCCGTGGTCATAACACTAAAGCTTTATGGCACTTTCTAAGCAGTATCTGTCAATGATATTTAATCCTGTCTTGTAGGGTATATACTGTATAATACTGTACTATACAGCACTCTATATGTCAATAGAAGAAGGGTTCGGTTCTTCCATACACTATATTTCATATAGTAAATGTGATTGATTTGTAAATATAAGTTACATTTAAATTAAACCTGGATAATAGAACTACAGAATTTTATGGATATGCGAGTCTGAATTATCTTCATCTTTGCGCAAAGGTATGCATCCAAAACCTGATATAATTGTTTTGATCAAGCTAGTTAGTGGAATTGTATTTTTTCATTTCCTTACCCTAATTACCTTTGGGAGTGCAACTGAATGTACTGCCTACTTCTTATATCACTCGTGATTTTCTTTCTAAAGATTAAATTACCATTTTGGATATTTCTGCAGTTGAAATTACATATTTAACATCAATCAAATGTTTTCAATATGACTTATAAATTTATACTGTATATCATACACCTACATGAGTTCAGTTTTTGAATACTCAAATGTAGAACAGAATATTTGGAGAAATAAATGTTGAGGAACAGTGACATCATGACACCTACAGGTTTGCAACAAGGTAAGGGAGAGACACATCACTCTTCCAGATGACGCTGTTCTTCTGTTATTTTGCAACTGACCATGGCTAGATGTGTCAGAGCTGTGTGCCTTTAGCTTTATTTTTTCTAACTACTGTATGTAAAGCAAATCTACACCAGTAACTATCATATATATATATATGTCTCCTAAATATAGTTACTTAGAACTATTAAAGTCAGTGTTATAGCTCTATAAACTAAACTTGAAAGCTTATAAATATTATTAGTCTCTAGGCAAATACAGTCAGACATTATAGACAGGATCATGTCAACAAGAAGCACTTTATAGATAAAATGTATAAATTAAACCTGCAGCATACAGTAAAAGGATATAAATAAGCTGTTTCCAGCTCCAGAAGATAAACCTGTTCCTGGAGATTTTTAATGTATTCAGCTTCTATAGAGGTCAAAGAGGTTGAGGATGACCAGCTAATTGTATGATAAAAAAACATATAGTTAATTACACAAAATACATAACAAAAGTCATGTCATATCATTTGCCAAACCGCTTTATACCACACGGTGGCATGGGAAGCCAGAGCCTACCCGGCAAGCAATGAGCGCAAGGGTACACCCTGGATGTGGCA